AGCTATCTGCGCTGATAGCTGGCCCGAGCATTAGGCCGAGATATGTCAACGGAGCCGCGATCGGGGAACAACCCCAGTCGGGGCGGTGATTTCGAAGCCACGCCCGACGCTTGGCAACGAGGGGCGGGGGGAACTCCCCCGCCAGAAAGAGCTAAAAAGCATTTGGCTCGCTTCAACTTGAGACGGGCAAGGGCCTCGCTGCAATCAAACGCGGCTTTCAGTTGAGGTAGTTCGCGAATCGAAGAGACCGCCGCCCCGATGTCGCCCGCGCACGCTCTCGCCAGACTCGGGCAACGTTGCTCAACGATGGCCTGCAATCGACATTGCGTCGCAACTGGAGGCGCGTCGGCACGTGGCTCAAGGCGGCGATGCAGATCGACCAGGAAGGGGTGACGGCCGATGGCGAACAACGCTCCTGAACCAGGGCAACCCTGGATGATGCCGGCAAGAATGTCGAAGACATACTCGCAAACACGCCCGTGCGTGGCGCGGCGCCGAATTCTCGAGAAACAATGTTCAACCCAAACCAGCAGCGGCGCGAGGGCCCTGAACGCGGCGATGGCCATGGGGATCCATGCGTGCGCCACCGATGGGGGGGGGCCTGGCCATAATCGAAGGAGAGTAATGCTGGGGGCCGGTGGGCTGCATCTGGTGACGTAGAGACTATGCGACTGCGAGCGTCCAGTTCTAAAAAATTGAATCCAAAGTTACGCCCTTGAACGAGCCCGCGTTGAGAGGAACAAACGCGCGTTTTAAGAAACTTGCTGATACCTTCAAACGCCGCGCTAGCAATGATTTTGTTGGAAGACCTGTTCGGGGCCAGGGTGGCGGGTCTGGTCAGGGGTCCTGGCAATCAGATTAGCGTGCCCCACCCCCTCCCCTCTGGCAAGAAATCCACCGCGGGCGCTGTTGTAGGGCGGGGGCATGCGTTTCCCACTGGGTCCCCACTATAACGCAGCATCCAGGATAGAGAGAGCCTGAGGGCGCCTCTTCCAAGCCCTGCAAGGGAGACCATCGAGCCCAGGGGCAATATCTTCAACACGTTCGAGACGACGCTCAAGGAGACGAAGGGAAGGGGGATGAACCACATAAAAATCAGCATCGTCAGCAGTGAGACAAATTTATTCCTGAGCGGCATATGGATTGATATCTTTCTTCTCGAAGACTGGCTCCAATGACCAGCCAAAATTTGCAGCGCGGCAGAAGGCGCCGTGACAATTGCACCCCTCGCAGATGTCTTGATACCCTGCAGGGGCATCTTCCTACCGAAAGGTGTCCAAAGGCGGCTTCGGCGAACCGTGGCTTCCAACTGTCGGCGAGCTTTGGTCCGAGTTATCGCATCTGTCGCTTTCGAGATCGCCTTGCGGTGCATGGCTTCTTTCTGGATCGCAATCATCTCGTGAGTCGAATCCGAGCGCCTCTGAAACTCAATCAGATCCGTCGGCTCCACTGTCCCAGCCAGTGAATCGATCTACAGGAAGAGCCTGCCCAGCTCGTGCGAAGGTCTAATTATCTCAACATACTTGAGGTCTTGCCTCCAGATCGCTCGACCGGCAGCTCTGGTAATCTTCAGCCGGGCAAAAGGGGGCCCAAGAGAGTCAATAATCACACTGTCTCGGGCGATCTCGGCAGCCTCGCGCATCATCCCAGTATGAAATTGCAGCAGAAGGGGAGGGGTGAGCGAGCTATTGTCACGGTTGGCGCCGGCGGCTTCCAACAACTCACGGTCGGCCGGGTGGTCGCAAACCTCTTGCGGAATAGGGCGTTGCCTGGGCCCCTGGAGAAATCGTGACCTGAACAGGCGCATGAGCAGAAGTCCCTCCCTTGTTGAGAAGCCCAGGTGGTTCCACCACTTCTCCTGCAATAGAAAGTTGAAGACAGAGCCAGCCAGGGTGAAGAATAAATTGCCGATCTGCGTGGCTGAGCATTCGCTTCGCGGCGAAGTGGTGCGCGGGCCCCCCGACCTCCAATTCCACCGCGCTCGTCAAGTCCCCCATCAAAAAAACTCCTGTCGGGCCCTCCAGTCTTCAATAAAAAGGGCGGGAAGCTTCGTCGACCACTGCATCGGGCCCCTTGCGCGGCGGCTTGCAGGCGACAGTAAAATCTCCGCCGACGATGAACAGGGCTCTAGCGGGGTGCGCGAGGGAGAAGTCGAGGTCGTTAGCGAGGGAGGTCATGATGCTCGCCTTCTCGTCATTACTCAGCCCATGGTTGGGGAAATTGCAATGTTGAGTCATCGCATCGTCGCCGAAGGTAAGGGCCACCAGGAGGGCCTGCCCAGGAACGAGTTCAGCAACGTTAGAGCGGGGAGCACGTTCCCCGAGGTGACCAAAATTGGGGAAGAAGGTGACAACACCTCCAGCCTGGGAGCTTGAACAGACAGAGGAGTAGGCCGTGTACTTAAGGTGAGAGTGGCAGAGAGAGTCCTGGACATCCAGCCTGGTGGCATGGCTCTCTTGGACCGCCACAGTAGAGCCAGAGGGACGGAGCAACTGCTTCAGGAAGGCGAGTTTGGGTTCACGGTGGGCAAGGCTCTGAGGAAACAGGACTCCGGTATTCCAGGTGGTCAGTATAAGGGGCCATTGCGATTGATGCGTCCCGCGACAGTGACACAGCAGGCCGCTAAAGAGACCACTGGGGCAGCGCTGCCGGCTGTCCAGCGGCGCCGAACTTGCCAGCAGCACGCTCCTTAGAGATCCCGGGCTCGGCGAGGTTCGGGGTGTACTACTCGACTTTGCATTGTTCATCCCCTGGGATTGGTGTGACCTTAGCGAGCGGCGTCCAGTTGGCGCTGATATCACATTTCTGCTTGCCGCTGAAGTATATGAAGCCCGCAGCCTCGGCCTCGAACGCCATCCGCAGCTGCTTGAGGCCGAGTTCCCTCTTGACCGCAGCTGGCGACTTGTCCGTGCTGACGAACAGTTCGGCGGACTGGCCCTGAACATCCGATACAATGAACTTCTCCCATGATCCACGTGGCTTGCGCAGAGCTCCAAGAGCTTGCGACACCTTCCTCGCGGCATATGTGGCATCCCCTTTGGTGCGGAACGTGGGCAGCATGCCTCCAGGATCTGCAGACAGGGAGAAGTCGTCCTTCTCGATCTGAGACCGCTGGAACCAAGGGGCAACTGCTCGCTCGACTCCCTGGCGGGTGACGACTGACTTAGATATCCCAATGATGATACATGGATCGATCCTCCTATCGAATGACATGCCGACGAGGTTGATGGAAGGCTCTTCTTCTTTAGTGCACTGGAGGAGGCACGCATCTCAGCCATCTGCTCCTCCGAAATCGAGACACGAGAGTTGGTGGCGGCCTGACGGAGTGAATCTCAGCGAAGCGCAACTCGACAGCCTTGGAGATGGTGTCACCGTTGTTGGAGACAGTGTTACCGAAGGCGGCGACCTGGGCCTGCAGTCGCTGGACTGTTTCCAGCATCTCGTTCCTAGTGTCACTGACAAAAGAGCGAAAGTTGTCAACAGCAGCCAGTGGATCCTCAGACGATCGTGCTCTCTTCCCATCCGGCGACTGTGTACCCCACGACATCACCGTGCCCGCGGCGCGGCAACTCCTGCGTCGGGAATGTGGCGGCATCGTCGTGCAGCCTGATGAATTCAGCTTGTTTGGGAGTCTTCGACAGCGACGACTGCAAACATCCCAGCTGGACTGTGGTGAGACAGGGGGCGGGTCCGCCAGCGAACGACACGCTGGATGGCTCGAAAGAGAGATGTCCGCTCGCAATGGGACCGGATCCCAGCTTGAGCCAAGATGGCAACGGACCTCCTCCTCCTCCTCCTTCTCCTCATTCTCCGCCTACCATCTCCTCCAAAAGTGTGCCGAATATGGGGCTCTAGCGCAAGAGACTGGAGCAACAGCTAGGCCCAGGCGCAACACTTGCACCGAAGCGCGCACACGCATGCGAACGTCTACGTCTGCACATCTGCCTGTAGATACTTGCGAATGGCACTTGAGATTGCACCCATCGCTCGCCATCGCTCGCCAAGTCCGATTCCTCGCTACATCCATTCGTGATAAACGACTAGACAAGCGAAACATATATCTACACTTGATAAATAAATCCCGATGCGTCTACGCATGCAAGTCTGCGTCTGGACTTCCAAGGATATGCCCCGAGACCCGGCGAGTCCTGCAGAGCATTGACGCTTGGTTGACCACGAATCCACGATTGCAGCCACAACGTAATAGATGGACGATCTTTCTAATGCGTGATTATGACTCGATGTGGTTCACTGTCATTCGCAATGCAATTCATTCAGCTGTGCCCCACTCCCGCCCCCCACGACTCTGAACAACAACTGTCCACTCCCGCCCCATCTACTCCCTCCCCCACGTTTCCAACCTCTCGCCTCCACCCTCCTGCTTGCTTGCTGCTTGTCCTCCTCCTACTCCTCCTCGCCATCCGCCTTTTCCTCCTGCGCCCCTTCCGCTACGCCCCGCACAAAGACTTCCAGAACCAGCTTGAATAATCAAGGAGCAGCCTAACCATTCCACCGCCCGTTGCCCCTAATTGTCTCCTCCTCATTACATCATTCATCCCATCCCCTCCTTCCACCCACCCGCTAGGACCCCCCAGAGCATTCCAGACTGTGCTCAAGACATGTGAACTCAATAAGTCTCTCGTGCTGCATCGGCCTCCGATGTCATCCTCGCTGTGCCTCCCCCACATGTCCCGCATACTTAAGGCCCACCAGGACACTCCTTGACATAATTCATGTACCAACAGTGTGTGAAACTCTTGATCGTGACTCTCTCCCCGCGTCCCTCCTCCCTCCCTCCTCTCTCGTCCTCTGAGGATCCCCCCTCGACGGAGAAAACCTACGAAACATCTGGTTTCGGAGGTCTTCGCAGATCCAGCGCCGATCCAAGAAATCCGCGCATATGTCGGACAAGCGATGTTTATGCATATTTCCCGCATTCGACCCAACTCTCGTCTCGCCACACTTTCTGACAGCACGGCGGCGGTAGCCGCGCCAGCTGCCTTCACCGCCCATCCGCGGCCCAACTTGAGTGCGACCACGCCCGCTTCTCGCTGCTCCTGACGGGCGCTAACCCGAAACATGTCGGGTGGCAGCTCCTGGGATGTATTCGTGGGCACGAAAAGGAGCTGCCAAAAGACCCCCATCGCGTCGTGGATAACCACGGCAGAAATAGTTTAGCTATGGCATGGCCCCTGGGGGTCCTCACCTTGCCACGGGACCACCGCAACAACGACTCAGCATGAACACACCCTCCTGGGAGCAAAACGTGACGATTACGCCCAACATAAGGACTCCGAACACTCATACTGCTCCATCCATAGAAGCGATGCTGGCACGGCAGCTTGTTCTAGCACGGCATTGCAACACACGACTACATGTTCGCACTCGAATCGAACCACGACACATCACGGCACGCGGGCACGGCAACTACTCCGCATGACTCAATCCTGGCAAGGCAAGGCACGCGGTCTCGGAACGGCAGTATTCTCCGCATTCTGAGCAGCACAACGCGACAACGTCTTCGGTCTAGAAATTCAGCCTGGCACGGCAATTCTCCGCATCCCTCGCACGGCACGCGGGTACGGCACAACGACCTCTCCGCTGCTCGCACTCTCGAAGGCATTACGGCATGGCACGGCACGGCACGCGGGCACGGGACAACGCACGGGCAAGCCACGGCACGGCATGCGGGCACGCCACGGCGCGGCAACTTTTTCGCACCCTCGAAATTCTGCACGGCGCGCCACGGCACGCCCAGCATGCGGGCACGGCACTGGGGAATCCATGAAGTACAAATTCTGCTACACCACGGGGCTATCCCGGGGTGCGTTCTGGCCAACATTTCGAGGCGACTCCAGCAGCGGTGACGAGGGTCCCCAGGAAACCCAACAAGGCGAAAGCGAGGACGGGTAGCGGAATCGGTGCGTACCTTCGCCTCCTCCGAAACACTGCACGGTAACCTTTTCGCACTCCCGAAACCAAGCACGATACGGCCACGGCAAGCGGGCACGGCGCGGCGCGCGGGCACGGCACGTCAGCTTTTGCGATTGTCTCGCAACTAAGCGCGGCACGGCACGCGGGTGCGGGCACGGCAATTTGTCTGCATCCTCGAGACAAGACGTGACACAACACAGCGCGCGGGCACGACACAGCGCCTTCTCTCGAAACAAAAAACACGGCACGGCACGGCACGCGGGTACAGCACGGCATTGCTTCGCATCCCTTAAAGCAAGCACGACATGGTAAGGCACGCGGGCACGGCGCGGTTCGGCAAAGGTTTCGCACCCTTGAGGCCGCGCACGGCGCGCCACAGCAATGTGTCATCAAACAGCGCTTACATACAGGAGGTTTGCCCTATGATCCCTAAGGCATTGGATGGGTGAGCCGAGGTTCCGCACGCTGCCCGCCTGTGGGCGCCTCGAGCGCTGGGTGGGCCAGCCGAGGCTTCGCATGGTGCCCGCCCATGGGCGCCTTCTGAGAAGGTTGGGGCAGCCTAGATTGTGCATGGTGCTCACCCGTGGGCGCCTGGTGCGTTGGGGGGTCAGTAGAGGTTTCGCATGGTGCCTGCCCGTGGGCACTTCGTGGGCGCCTCGTGCGTTTGGAGGGTCAGCCGAGCAATCGCATGGTGCCCGCCCGTGAGCGCCTCGTGGCTTTTGCAAACCAAGTTGCGGGTGGGCGGGGGGGGTGGTTGCGCGAGCAGTGGAGTTGACAACTCACTGCGAGCACCGGTGACTTGCATTATACAGAAAAGAAGACTAGGATCTATATACACTCGCCCAGACTGATCGCCCCCCTCTGGGGATGAGCAATTTTCACCTCGCTGCGAACATTTGCGACATGCGCAGCACACATTGCACCGCGTCGATTACCCCAGTGCGACCTCACCTAGAAGTTGGAGCCCCTAGGAAAGCAGCATTAGTTGCTATGCTACGCTATGCCATGCCAATGTATGCTGCGCTATGCTATGCTATGCTATGCTATGCTATGCTATGCTATGTTATACTGCGCTATGCTATGCTATGTATGCTATGCTAAACTATACTATGTCATGCTGCGCTGTGCTATGCTAAGTTATGATTTGCTATGCTATGCTGAGCTGCGCTATACCATGCTATGCTATGCTATGCTATGATGTGCTATGCTGCGCTATGCTATGCGATGCCATGTTATGTGTGGCTATTTTATGCTATGCTATGTTATGTGAATGCAGCGCTGTGCTATGCTAAGCTACGCTAAGATAAGCTAAGCAAACCCTCTAGCCAGAGCCTAGGTAGGGAATTACACCCATGATAAGCTAAACTAAGCTAAGCTAAGCTAAGCTATGCTATGCTATGATGCGCTGTGATATTATGTGCTGTGCTGTGCTGCACTATGCTATGCTGTGCTATGCTATGCTATGCTGCACTATGCTATGCTATGCTGGGCTATGCTATGATATGCTGTGCTGCGCTATGCTATGCTACGCTATGCTATGCTATGCTGTACTCTGCTATGCTAAAGCTCAGCGAAGCTAAGATGAAGGTAAGCTAAGCTAAGATAAACCTGAGCTAAGATGAAGCTAAGCTAAGCTAATATGAAATAAGCTAAGCTAAGATGAGATAAGCAACGCTAAGCTAAGGGGACGTAACTGGGGGAACCGCGGGGCGATTACTGGGGGAACCGCCCGGGGCGGTGTGCACTGCCCTGCCCCTTTAAGAAAGAGAGTAAGAACCCTCTAGGCAGAGCCTAGGTAGGGAATTATCCGTGGGAGAAGCAAATGTTTGGGTCTGGACCCCCCTGAGGCCGAGATTGTCTCTCCGCCCTGGGGATGTGCAATGCACTTGCGAAGCTGCCACATGTTTCATCCTAGATGCGAATTCATTGGATCCAAGCAAAACTGACATCAACCCCCTTCCGGTCCCTTACAACAGCACAATGCACGCACACGTCTTCATCGTAACACATGTGTTTCAAGTCTCCCTCGTAACCAATGCGTCGAAGTGCACGCGCGCGCGTCGCCGCGCGCGTGCCGAGATCCGCCAGAAGCCTTAGGTTTCGAAATGGTTTCGAAATCGAGTGCCCCGAAAACAGCATGGCCAATCAGCCCGCAACGGCGGTTTTCTCATAACAAAAAAACTATCCTGACGAAAGACCCAACCATGCGCAATTTTGAATACCGAATTGTGGGCACCGCTTTCGGTGGACTCCCTGTGGGGCCACCAACCGTGTGAGCGGTAGGCCGAAATGGGCGTCGGGCGCATGCGGACCCTGCCGCTGGGGCCTTCGGCGGAGCTCCCTGTGGGGCCACGAACCGTGTGAAGGATGCAAAATGGGTGGCGGTCCCCGCGTGAGGACACTGCCACTGGAGCCGTCGGTGGAGCTCCCTGTGGGGCCACGAACCGTGTGAACGGTGTGGTGTGTCAACATGGGTGGCGGCCCCCGCGCGAAGACCCTGCCACCGGTGCCTTCGGTGGAGCTCCCTGTGTGGCCACCGACCGTGTGAGGGGTATGCCCAAATGGGTGGAGGCCCCCGCGTGGACCCTACAACTGAGGACTTCGGCGGAGGTCCCTGTGGGGCCACGAACCATGTGAGGGGGTGTGCTAAAATGGTTGGCAGTCCCCGCGTGCAGACCCTGCCACTGGGGCTGTCGGTGGAGCTCCCTGTTGGGCCACGAACCGTGTGAAGGATGCAAAATGGGTGGCGGTCCCCGCGTGCGGACACTGCCACTGGAGCCGTCGGTGGATCTCCCTGTGGGGCCACGAACCGTGTGAGGGGTGTGCCAAAAATGGGATGGGCATGCGGAGAGCAGAGGCAAGGGATGGGAGGAGGGAGGAAGGGAAGGGGGCAACGGGAATGAAGGTAGCAAGGACCGCGGGGCGCTGTCTTTTCAAAACGAAGACCCAACACCACAGGATGGCTAGGAAAAAACCAAATTTGGGTTCACGCTCGCGGGCATTCAAACTAAACGTCCGTTGCGCCGTATAAATTGCGCCGCGTGCAGTGCACGCACCGCGCAAATACAACAGCAGATGTCCCCCAGTACGTTTTTTGTTGGAAAACAAAAACATGTCTCTAGCAACCCATGGAATCCGGGGGTATCTCGCCGCCCGAAGGACGCGCAATTCCCATGGGACCCTGCTCAACGTTCACTCGGGGAAGGAACTTACATAATCCAAACCAGACTTGCATCGACAACCCCTTCACCCACCGAATGTGTCCATAAACCCTCCCCCAACACAAAAAACATGCGCACACTGCCCCATGAGCAGAAATATTTGGTCCAAGGCGCCATTTGCATCAGAAAGAAAATAAGGAAGCGCGCGCGCGTCGTCGCGCGCGCGCCGCCATTCTTCGCGACCCCACGCGTCGCGTGGATTTCAGAAGGGAGCTTCCCGAGTGCACAAACACAACACGTGTCGCAACGGGAAACTCTGAGCGAAATGCCAACGCCCACGCCCTTGCGAATTAATAACCATCCATAGTTGTCCCCAACATGTTCATCAATTGCGACCAAGCGTGCCCCTCTCGCGCGCGTCCAAAGTCACCCAATGCCCGCGCGCGCTTCTGCGATAAACTCCGCGACTAATTCGACAGAGGGCGAGCGCGCGCACCGCCGCGAACGCACGCGCGCAGATATCCAAAGATAAGCCACGCGTGCCAGGCAGACTTCAAGCTGGGTGCCCCGAGCGCTTGAAACGCAATGGAGTCGCAAGAAGCGCTCGGGCTCGTGCGGGCCCATGCAAACATCGGTTTTCAACGCGTTCATGAAAAGCTACCAAACGTGCTTCTCGCGTGCGAACATCGGAATCATTCGATCGCCCGTCCGCGCTAGAGAAGGCGCTATCAATGTCGAGTGCAATCGCGCGGGTCACTCGCGCGCGTCGACCGCGCGCGCATGTCGAACTCCTCCTTGATTTGTCCATTCCCGACGCAAGTGCGCCGGCATCGCCATCGTCGCCACCAGCGTCGGCACCGTCATTGCCCTAGCCGTCCATCGTCCTCTCCAGCGTCACGACTATGGCCATCGCGCCTGCCGTCGACGTCGCCGCGGCACCGCGCCCGCCCGAATCGCCGACT